ATTTTTCCCAAATGCTCACAAATGAGTTACTCTCCCTAACTTATTGTAGTTAAAACCTTTTCTGCAGGGAAAATTTTAATCAATGTATATGGCCTATTCAGCATTTTTTTTTTAAGAATTCATTTGAGAATACATAAGGCAATAGATCATCTACTTAGTATTTCCATCATCAAGTCAAGAGAGTGAATGCTTGGGCCCAACCTGCCAACTGAAGGCCTAATTACCTCTCTCTCTCGGCTTCCAGGCATATATGCCTAAATCACCGGTGCAGGCCCCTATCTGCTACCAACCTGCTTATTTTATAGTTTTCAAATAATAAATCGGTAGTGATTCCTGTTTGTTTTCTATGTTTTTAAATTTTTTTCAGTCAAGGTTGTATTTTAAACTTGTTTAATTTCCCTTGAATTCTAAGGTTCTGTAAGATTTCTTCCCAGTTTTGCCATGTTTAAAACCAGAGCCTTTTCTTGTTTTAATTCAAAGTAATATCCCAGATGATGTTTCACTTTATTAAAAGTACCTCTTTAATAAGAAATCATGATTACTTTGCTTTAAGCTTCAGGATAAGAAAGGAGTATTTTCTCCATTATATTTAATTACTAATCAAAGTATTGAACATCATTGTAAAAATAAAATAGGAATGTCAGATGTGAACTGTGATACCAAATTGTTGATTTTTAAAAGGAAATTAATCATGTATCTGCCCTAAGTCGTTGGTTTCAAAAATCTCAAGTATTTAACTGATGTAACTAATATGTGCATTTAATTTTTAAACAGTTATTCCGAAGTATTAAAAATCTTCAACATTCTAATTTTCAGTCAATTTTCTCTGCAATGCATTGGAGGTGTCCGTTACCCTTTAAAATGACCCTAGTAAGAATAATGTCCATTGTTCCAAAGTGATTTTCTTAAATAGTATGATCCCCACCAGATATTAGTCTTCATTGAAAGAAAACTTCGGACTCTTAAGGAGATAATGAAAAACAATTACGTATAATGGTTTAGGGTAATTTTGATTAGTAATATAATTTACTAGAAGCACTGAAGGTAGACAGGCTTGCATTCCAACCCAGACTCTGCTACTTTGTAGCTTTGACAAGTTATTTTTCCTTTCTCAGTCTTAATTTCTCTATGTGTAAAATCAAGATAACACCAACATGCCTGCCAGGTTAAAATGAGGAATACAAATGCTAGGACATCAAAAAGGGCCTAGGCAGATATTAGTTTTCTAATTTTTCATTTGGAAGGATCATTGTTCTGCAGAATATTTTTATATAAGGTTTCAGAGCCAGCAGAGACTGAATCACCTTCTGGCCAAATGCAGTGAGCTGCATAGGGAAGGAAGTACTTTGTATGGAGACTTACAATGGGCCCGAATGTGTTTCTGTCGCTTCCAACATGACCATGTATTGTTCTCCTTAATTATTTCACTGGCAAAAAGACATTTGGCCCTCTGCTTGTTAGCATATCCTCAGTTGTATCAGAAGGAGCCAAGCTTGACTGTTTAAAGGATCAGCTTCTTGAAGTTTGTTCTCCTGCAGACCTACAGGGGGATTTGTCCCAGGTCCCCGTTTACAATAGAAGACCTTCCATTTACAATAGAAGACCTTCCGTGAATAATCTGATAGGGCATGAAAACAGAATAGACTCCTTTATTTGCCAGACAGGTGAGGCCCCTACTTTCTCTTGTTGCTAAAAATCTGGCCTGGAAAAATGACTAGCATTGCATTAGTACTAAATTAGCCTCATTGCTTTGCAATAATTACCCTCAAAATGATTTCACCGAGAAACCAAGAATAACAACGGAGACTTTACTCCCTTAGGGTACTGAGAAATTTGAAAATGGTTTATAATGTTAATAATAGCCATAACATCCAACAATTTATGGCAATTTTCAATGATCCAAGGTTCTTTCATGAACATTATCTCATTTGATTCTCACGTGAACCAAATAAGATTGGTAGAGCAGATACGGTTATTCTTGACTCCCAATCTTATTCATTCCATTGAATAAATGAGGAAATGGAGATCAGAGAGGTTGTTTCTTGTTTAAGATTATTTAGCCCAAGACTTCCAGCACAAAACTTTTATCTGTGAATCCCCCTCTAGTCTAAGGGTAAAGGGTAAACATTGAGTGGTAACTGGTACTAGAATAGATTGTTGCCTACAGCAATTTTGTGAAGTAGGTATTACTCCCATTTACAGATGAGTTGCTTGGAGTGGTTAAGGGCCTACTGAAGGTCACGTAGATAATGGAAAAAGGCTTTATTCAGAGGTTTCTGTCTCCGTACCCTGTGGCAGACAGTCTTCTACTCAAGTGATTCCTTTCTATCTATAGGCATGTAGACACAATCATTACTGGTGCACCTAGCACTGACTAGAATGGCCTCCAGTGATGCCTGGGATACATATTTGCCTGTAACAGTGTATAAAGCAGGGATTTTCTGTAATCCCAGCACTTTGGAGGCCGTGGCAGGCGGATCACGAGGTCAAGAGATAGAGACCATCCTGGCCAACATGGTGAAACCCCATCTCTACTAAAAATACAAAAATTAACTGGGCATGGTGGTGCGTGCCTGGAGTCCCAGCTACTCAGGGGGCTGAGGCAGGAGAAAGGCAAGTGAATTGCTTGAACCTGGGAGGCAGAGGTTGCAGTGAGCCGAGATCGTGCCACTGCACTCCCAGCCTTGGGACAGAGCAAGACTCCGTCTCAAAAAAAAAAAAAAAAAAAAAAAAGCAGGATTTCAAAAGTATCACATTTGGCAAAGCTTCAGTGTTATTCTCTTCCTTTCAGATCACCCTCACCCTTCCTACCTCCATGAAACAAGAGGAACTATACTAGGAGAAAATAGGGGCAAAATTCTCCAATTATTGGCAGTGAAGTGTAGTAGCTAGAATGGTGGGCAAAAAGCAAGACCTACGATGGAACCCCAGCTTTTGACTTACTAGCTGCATGTCCTTGGGCAACTAACTTACTTAACCACTCTGTCTTCCAGCATCTTCACCTATAAAAATGAGGATAAGGATGTCATCTACTTTATAGAGTTGACTATGACATAAAATGAGTTTATGAAAAGCACCTGGTCCATAGTAATAATAGCTAATATGATTTTGCACCAGTAGAAATATTTGATAAATATTAAAATTGGGTTTTTGTTTGTTTGTTTGTTTGTTTTTTGAGACGGTCTCACTCTGTCACTCAGGCTGGAGTGCAGTGGTGCAATCACAGCTCACTGCAGCCTCAACCTTCTGGGCTCAGGTAATCCTTCCGCCTCAGCCTCTCAAGTAGCCAGGACTACAGACACTCACCACCATGCCTGGCTAATTTTTGAAATTTTTTGTAGAGGCGGGGTTGTCTCCATGGTGCCTAGGCTGGTCTCCAATTCCTAGGCTCAAGCAATCTGCCTGCCTTGGCCTCCCAAAGTGCTGGAATTACAGGCATGACCCACTGTACCCAGCCTAAAATTCTTATTATTTTTATTCTACTCTGTAACCAGATTTAACCCCTCTCGAGTCTCTTCTGAGAGCTAACTCACAGGGCACAGTCTCAACACCAGGTTTTGGTATTCCTTTCAAATAACTGATATGCCATATCTCACCTGCCAAACAGTTCCCAAACAAGGCGTGTACGAGTAAAAACTACATATGGTTTATTCTCATTTACATGTACCAGGGTAACTCATCATTTAAAGGAATTTTGGGGCCTTTTCATCACTCTTTTTATACTTCCAGTTTAGCATTTTCAGGACATGTAATTATCTTTCTTCTATTTTTCTTACCAGACGATGAGCTCCTTAAGGGCAGAGGACATGTCATACTTAATTTTATATTCCTAGTACCTACAATAGTGCCTGGCATGCGGTAGCTTTTTGTTTATTGACTTACTGAATGAGTGGAAGGATAATTGAATGAATGCATGGTTAATTCTTTTGTAAGGTAAATAATAATCTCTGAATTTTGCGTCAATTTGAGTTGTCACACTTTGAGTTTTCTTAAAGATAGCTGATCTTGGTTATCAGGGCATGGCATTATGTAACCCCTCTAATTACTATCCCATAATTCTGTGTTTGTTTTACCAGTCAAATAATTCATTAACCACAATATATGCCTAAGTATTTGGTTTCAATGATCAGGCTCAAACTGATAAAAAGAAAAGTATGTCTCATGTTCTACACATATTATATTCTTTTCCAAGCAATGGGATATAAGATTTCAAAAATATACTTCAAAGTGTTAGCTCTCATAATTATTGGGCTCATATGAAACCATTTAAGAATTCTGGGGTTTCAATAAAGTGTCAGGTTATACAGTGCTGCCATGCTGGAAGGAATTATAGACACCAACCAAAACAGACACTTCACTTTTGCAGAGGTAAAAAAATGAGGCCCAGAGACGTGAATGTTTTGTTTAAGGTCACACAGCTGATCAAAGATCAAACTGACCCTGACTTCAGGCCCCCATATTCTCAGGCCAGTGGCTTTTTGGACACTGAGACTAGGAATCCTTAGTAATGTTGATTCTGGAAGATGCAGGATTGGCCCCATAAGTCCAAACCAGCCAAGACAAGGTCATGATTTCTAGAACACCATCTTGTGGGGGCTGATCTGGGCTGGCAGCCAGTGGAAGAAGAGTCCTGTGGTCCACATTAAGGCTCTTGGATGTATACAGTCCATTCACATGGCGTTTAACTTTTAAGGTGCTAGAGAAATGCGGGTCTGCCACTAAAGAGAGGCAACATCAGAGGGGCACCCACACACATACAAAGTCTTCATAATGTCCCTCTGCAGTTTTTAAACATTTGAACTTAAACTTTAAACTTCAATAAATTATGTTGAAGGGTTTGATGGAAACAAATGGTAATAAGCAATGGATTCCTTTTTTCTCACAGTGGATTTGTGTGTATAGAAGAATAGAAGAGGTGGTTCATTTTAAACTTTGCAATGTAATATTATACATGTTACTTTAAAGAGTATAACTTTGGCTCTTTTCATTTCTGCACCCAGATTCAAAGGATTCCAAGGAGAAGAATAAAATGGAAATCTTGTACATACTCGTGCCAAGTGTTGCCATTCCCCTGGCCATTGCTTTACTCTTCTTCTTCATTTGTGTCTGTCGCAATAACCAGAAGTCATCATCACCACCAGTCCAGAGGCAACCAAAACACGTCAGAGGTCAAAATGTAGAGATGTCAATGCTGAATGCATATAAACCCAAGGTAATGTTAGCAGTACAGAGCTGCATTTGTTCCATGGGTTTCAAGTTAAAACAATATTTTATAACCCTCCCCAAGCTTAGAAATCGAATGATATGGAATCAGAGTTTTATAAGTGCTAAGGTTCATTTAAACCAAATGCAAAGATGAACTATCTCCCTCTATCTTTTCCCAAGACGCTTTCATCAGTATGTCTACTTCAGTGTTGGGCCAGCCATATCATACCTTGTCATAGAGTTGTTGGGCTAGAGGTGATCCTAAGAAATCATCCTGGCCAGCCCGTCAGGACTCAGACAAACTTCACTGTCAAGAATCCTTTTTGTTGCATAATGTGCAAATAGTTAAAACCACTATACTATATACTTAAAAATTATTAAGACAGTAAATTTTGTTGTGTTTTTTACCACAATTAAAAAAAAATCCTTTGTATGCCTTGCATCCCTTTTTCTTTGGCTTAAGTGTATTTTAAGAGAAATGTTGTCCTTCCAATAGTCTTTGAATGCTGTTTTATGACAACTAACCTTAGCCTTCTCCACTTTGAGCTAAATCAACCCCTTCCCTTTTGCTTTTCATCTACATCTTTCAACGTTTGAGTTGCTCAAGGTCCTGGCAAGGAACCCAGGGTCACTGGCCCTTACCCTAAATGGAGCCCCTGCACTGCATCTTGGAACTAAAACACAACAGAGTCTTTCTTTCAGGAAAGCCAGCACCATAACCCCAGGCCTCTCAGCAAAAAGATTTCATTTAAATAATTTAAAACTCTTGCATCTAAAAGCCTGGTTTTTTTTCTAATTATTCCAATTCCATAAGAACATTCATTCATCCATTCAACAAATATTTATCTTCCCTGTGGACTAGTAACCGTATTATTCTTTTGACCCTCATAAAAAGGAGAAGCATCACTTTTAATAAAATTTTAGGAAAAAAAAAGTCTTCACACTCAAATTAACTAATCCTCTTATCTAATAAATGGAGTAGCATAATTGGGCTGACACAGAGCCCTCTTTTTTTTTTTTTTTTTTTTTTTGCTTTACTGTTTAGATTTTTTTTACTTAAAAAGTCTTGAAAATATTTTTGCTATTATAAAGTAATATTTATTGATAGGATTTGGAATTCCTTACATGCTAAATATTCAGTGTCTATATTCTGTATTCAGCAAAACCACTGTTCTCTTGCTGAGTGTGAATTTTTATCATTAAAAAAAAAATCTACAGATCCTGAAGACCATAGAGTTCACACAGTAGCCCGGAGGATGGGCAGAGGTGGGGATTCAACTCTTTTGACATCCCACTTTCTAGCTAACTGATTTACATATATTATAGCATTTTATATAATATCACATTTAATCCTTACTACTTAGTGCTACTATAAAAGTAGTGGAAGCAAATGGACAGGGGTTAATATTGCTGCACATTCACCTAGTTGACCTGGCAGATACTTTTACCTAACTCATGACTTCAAGCTTCTAGTGCAAGAGTAATTGTTCCATGAGACTCTTTCCCTTTCATTTCTGTTGGTAAATGTGGAGAAGTCTTAGAAACACCAGAACTGTGGGTGGGGGAGAGACCTAGATCAGTTTGGCTACAGCAGACAGCAGTTTGGTGCAGTAGCCACCATCCTGGAAAGATGTACTCCTCATTGCCAGGGCAGGAACCCTGGAAGAATCATTTTCATTTTTAGAAATTATCAATTTTGTGGGTTAGCCGTAATCTGCAATTAATTCTATTTTTAGTGGAGCTTTGTTTTATATCACATGGTGTCCAACAGAGATCCCAGAAAGCTTTGTGGCATAAATAGAAAAAAAGCTAATATATATATTGATGAATACAAACTGTCAAAAACAATACCAGGAGCTTTTACATCCATTATCACAATTAATCCTCACAGCTATTATATAAGGCAGGTATTATTATTACTATTGTACAACCAGAGTAGTTGAGACACAAACAGACTAAGTAACTTGGCAAGGTCCAAGAGCTAGTTATTAGAGGCAATAAAATGTGAATACAGGATTTTTCACCTTTTCTAAATAGAGCCGGCCCTTGCTCTTGCAGAATCTGTGATAACTTTTTCACAGAACAGATCAAGTGGGGAAGGAGGAGAGAGGGTTAGGAAAGCAACTGAATGTGATCCCATTTGGTCAGTTTGTGCTGCAGAGTAACCACAGGCATTCTCCTGGCTTCTGACAAATCTTTAAGGGGCCTGCATGGCAGTCACTGAATGATGTAGTCCTAGCCCTTCCAGGGACATGTACAATTTGGCTAGAGCAATAATAGTTCCCCATCCTTCATGGTCAAAGAGACAAATGTAAAATATACTGGCATGAGTTTCCCAGAGACTAGGTGAGGTAAACATTGTTTTCATAGTTTCTGGATCATTTCTGAGGTGTGCCTTGCTAAATCTCCCAGTGTCAAGATTTGTCCAATATGAGGCTTAGAGCTTAGCCTTCAACTGTTCACAAACACTCCTGAACCAGAGAAGTAGAAATGGCTTAAATATTTGAATGGGTTGGGGAGGGGAAAGGAAACAACAAAAACAAATGCTAATTTTTTTTTCTGACCCTTCTAAGGGACTTGGCCCCGATCAAATTTGAGTTATTCAATTGTTTGTTTTGGTTCTTACTGAGTGCCTTTCCTGGAAAAAGCACAAAGGACTTTGTAGACCTTAAAGAAAATTCCTAAATGTAAACAGAAAATCTCTAAAACTGCTTTGCAAGGTCACTGACACATAAATATTACATGTACCTATAAAATCTAAAAGGAAAGGACACACATAAGAAAGAAAGAAAAAAAAGTCCTGAAAACAAACACTCCACCAGAGCACAATCAAAAGAATCTTTGGAGGTGAGGATGAAAAAGGAATGAAGGATAGAAGCCAGTCTTCCCTAGCCTTATTCTTTTTTCCTCTTGGCCAATTCAAAAGTCAGAGACTCTAGGGTTCTTATTTATCCAAATGAATATGCCCTTCAGGGTTCAGACTCTCTGCTTCCATCTCTCTTCACTTGCTGAGCTGCTAAAATTCTCCTGAGTGTGCTCCTGTGGGAGATTAGAAACCAATACCCTCGAGAGAGGACAATAGGGAGCTGCCGAGAGACTGGCTGACGAGGCCCAGCTTGGGTCCCCAGAGAGGTAGGACGATGCAGTTTGAAGTAAAAGCTTTTGATGAGCCATGAGTTTCCTTCTGATCTGTGGGCAAAGGAAGCCAGTGGACCAGAGAGGCACCTTAACGCCGAAGAGTCAGGAAGATGGAGATGCCCTGGATCCCCCGCCAGCTGCTCTGTGACTCTGAGAAGCCATCTAGCCTTTTGCAGTTCAATTTTCTCAGCTGTTCAGAGGAAGAAGTAGACTGAGCTCAAGGAGAAGACTGTTTATTTTCCTGTTATTTTGTTTAGCCAAAGATTTGAAGCCATTCAGTCCTCTACTGAGTACTGTAGTGATGCCTAAACTAAGCAGGATTGTTCTATATTGCATTACAAATTTTACAATCTGAGTGAGGTTACTTTTTCTTCTTTTAGCACTGCAGAAACTGAACCTTCTCAGAGGAGCCTGGAAACTCTAAATTCCCTTCTCTGTTTCTTTTCCTTTGCTTCTCCTTCCCTGGCCCCTACATCCTCTGCCAGGTATGACTCGAAAACAGCATTCTGTAAGCTTGCTTGGGTAAGGGAGAGAAGCTGTGGTATGTGCTACTGTGGGAACAGGGAGGGGGCAGAGTCTCCCCTTCAAGAACAGGATGGGCCCCATTCAGCCCAGGCCTCCTGGCTTCTCACCTACATGAAGATTAGGCAGGCAGAGAGGTTAAAAGATGGAGGAGTCTGGTGGGGGAGTGGTGGGCACAGTTGCTCACACCTGTAACCTCAGCATTTGAGGAGACCAAGGTGGACAGATTGCTTGAGCCCAGGAGTTCAAGACCAGCCTGGGCAACATGGGGAAATCCCATCTCTACAAATGCACACACACACACACACGCACACACGCACAATTAGCCAGGCGTAATGGTGCACCCCTGTACATGGAGCTACTCGGGAGGCTCAGGTGGGAGGATTACTTGAGCCTGGGAAGTTGAGGCTGCAGTGAGCTGAGATCATGCCACTGCACTCCAGCCTAGACAACAGAGTGAGACTCATGTCAAAAAAAGAAAAAAAAGATGGAGGAGTCTGAGAATAGGGGCGAGGAAGAGTCAAGGCAGGCCAGGGGTGTGAGATGCAGCCAAGCCTGGACAACCCCCATGAGTCAAACTCCTGGAGCTCCTGGCTGATGTAAGGAACATTGCAGGGGAAAGAAAGCAGGACTGGCCCAGCTTTCCAAAGCTGATGGCTGTGTTTTACTTCTCAATTTACCCTCATCTCTTGCCAGCTTCTCTGCTTTTTCACTTCCAGACAATTCATCTCTCCGTTCTCCTTTCCAGCCAAAGTAGTTGCTGAATATATTGAAATTTGATTACATTCTCTGGCCCTGTCCCTTTTGCCAGCAACACGCTTCCATCTAAAAGCCCTGCTGGAGTCTGGCTACCCTTTTTAATTCCCTGTTCTTACCAAATATCACCACACTTCATGCTAAAATATCCTCAATAACTTTTCCACTCACTCCTTAAAGCCATTGTCTCCCAACACTTCTGAGCTCACCATTCTATTAACATGGGCCTCTTGGGAATCACCAGTGATGTTATTTAATCCAGTGACCTTTGCCAAGTCTTCACCCCCTTTAATTTCTCTGGGAGCCTTTGATATTCTTAACCACCATCCTGAAATATTTTTTCTTTCTTCTTGGCTTTCCTCATATCTCCTTCCCACGCTTCCTTCACTAGTTCTTTTAATTCCCTTAATGGGAGCATCCTCGGACATTCTTTTCCTCTCTCATTCTCTTGTGCTGATTTCATCCTCCGGTGTTGCTCTAGCTCCCCCTTGAGTGTAATGATTTCCCAACCTGGAAGGCGCAATTTCAAGTTTAAAATTCTTGCCACCAAAATCCTGCCACCCAAAAGTCCATACTATCCGGGCCTAAGTT